CTCCTGTGTGTGGCTGAACGTGAGCGTTGATGACTGGAAGACATCTTCTGCCTCCATTTATCTGTTTACTACTGTCTTCATGTGGATTTAAACACATTTACATAAGTGGAAAAAATATTTTTAAAAAGTCTAATCAACCAAAACTTTGGCGACCCCCATGCAGTACCTCCGGCCCCCCTAGGGGTCGCGGACCCCCTGTTGAAGACCTCCTAGTTAAATAATTGGTTAATCAAATGTAAGTTAGGTTTGAATACAGTTCCCAATAAATCTCATCTCAAGTTTCTTTAAAGATGCTGAACATTTTAGGCAACTCGCATTCCAAACAATTCCAACCCATTCAATTCCTAATGACTCACAGACATACAACATAGTGCCAAGCAAAGGAAAGCAACAGGATGTTCCTAATCTCCCATCCTAGCCATGGCCATAGACAAGAAAAAGCTCAACTTCTGGAAGATTGAATAGGTTACATAACACTATGTGTGTTATCAAAGTCTTCCTGGCCATAATTAATGGCATTACAAATCCAGAGATGAGTTCCCTCCACACACCAGCTTTTTCTGCATTTTACTGCAGTCAACTACTGTAATTCCACAGTTGTTCTAGCAAATCTCTTGATTTGGGGGTCACATGTGGACTTTCTTTTTATTTCAAATCTTTAAGTCTAATCTTGCTAACCTGTAAGTTCCACCTTGAGTTTGAAAAACAAATGGAAACAAGTTCCAATGAAGAGAAAATATTGTCAGAGTTGAGTCTCCGACACATAATAGAAGGGTTTGGTTCCTCGGTTCTTGTTGGACTCACGTCCTCCTCTGTCTCCTCTTCCTCTTTGTCGTCCTCATCCTGGCTGTCCTGGCTGTCCACTGAGGCCGTGTCTGGGGTGGGCTCCGGGTCTGCGCTGACCTCTACGGGAGCTGCTGCCTCCCCCTGCAGAGACCGGACACGGTGAGCAGCAGAAACTCCTCAGAGCAGAGCGTTTCTATGGGGGGGGGGGGGGGGGGGCCTCTTTTTGTCCCCCTCTGGGGCCTCGGCGCTCTCGTCCGAGCCGCCCGCAGCTGCCGCCACCTTCTGCAACAGCAGAAACAAAAGCTGAGCAGGAACGGGTTTTAGCGGGGCCCAGGCACTGAGCCTGAGCGGAAAAAACGAGCTGAGGAACTAAACTTTTCAACAGATTTTAGTTTGAAAAGTTGAAGAAAGCTGGTTTGACTGGATGACAAACCTCTTATCTGACTAACAATCAACTTTACTCAAACTTTATTTTTAAGGCACATTTAAAACAACCGGTGTGACCAACGTGCTGTCCAGATATCACAGTTGCAGGAAATAAGGTCAAAACTAAAAAGGTAAACTATATAATGAAAAGCAATGAAATAGAATAAATGAAGGGGCAGAGGCAGAGGGGAAGTGGAGGGAGCTGGAGGACTATCTGACCTGCACAGGAGCCGGTCCTGCCCGGGAGGCTGCCAGCGGCTGCTTTCTGATGGCCGGAGCCGGTCGCCTCACCTGAGAGCAACATGAGAGGGTCACTATTTACCCACCGGTCAGCCCCCCCCACCGCCCCCCCGCGGTCCTCTGAGATACCCACCACTTCCTCAGAGCTGTCCGAACTGCTGTCAGAAACCTTTCTCGCCTAAAAATCAACAGATTTCTAAATAAATGAACATGTAAATCTCTTTCAAATGAAATGGACCAATAGAAAATGACCAAATAGAGAAAAAAGAGAGTCGGACTCACCGGTCGGCAGAGAACTGTGGCGAAGAGCAGAACAAAAACAACAGCCGCTTTCATTGTGCCACGGTTTGGGGCCTGGACGGGATTAAAGTCGCACAATAAAACATTACTGTATCACAATGTAAAACAATAAAACTTAATCACAACACGCCAAGCCCTTCCTCTGCCAAAATATCCGTCTGGAGGTCATAACTTCACAGCAAGCACAATGACCTGTCAAACTTAAAACACGCTCACGAGATTCCTCCCTAAGAATAGCGGCCGCTGCCCACGTGACGGCTGAACAGCCCTGGTATGTCACAGGAAGTCGTTAGGCCTTCATTACAGGCCTAAATGAGCACTCCTATATGTTCAGCTCGGTGTAGTTAAACAGTTTCTCTGTCATCAGAGACAGAGAATCCCGTCGCCCAGAACCGTGGTTTACTAAACTATGAGGAGGAAACTCTCTGGCCGACTCGGGTCCAAAAGATGTGAGAAAATAATAGGTGGAATTGTGAAAAAGCTGGAGTTGGCTTGTGGGCGTTTGGGCGGACGTTTAAAGCTACTACAGTTTCCACTCTTAAAGGCACTGGGAGTAAAGTGTCCAGGGATAAGAGTGAATTCTGCTCAACAGAATTACGTTACTAGAATGATTCCACCGTCCTGAGCTGGGATCTGCTCTGCATTTGGTCCTCCCCAATCTCCAGGTGATGCTTGTTTCATGCCGAATAACAATTCCTCAATAAATAACATTCCCTTATTGTGTTAATGTGACACTTTACAGTTGATTGAGGTCTCTTGGTGCGTTCGGATTGGTTGAGGGGACAGACGTGGACTCTTGTGTTCGGTGTGAACAGCAGCTGTAGAAATGCTTTTTTTGTGTTTGTGTGGGAGGAACATTCTGAATGACTGCTTCTATCTTTAATGATGGACTCTCCCTATAGTGTGTAATTCATGGGGTTATAACGGGAAAGCCACACAGCAGCGAAGCCGACAGACGCCCTGAAGACTGTATGAATATTTTTGTACATGTGTCTTTGTGAGGACTTATTCTAGCATCTGACCTCAGACTGAGGACACTCTTCTCAGAACTATTGAGAAAGGAGCCGTTACAGAAACTTAGTTTATTTACAGTAAAGTTACAGGAATGTTCACACTGCTTTTGTTTTTGTTTTAAAAAGTTAAAGTTGGTTTTGATGATGTGATGGTTTAAAGAAAATTCTGTATTTTGGAAAATGCAATAATTTTATCCATATAAGCTGGTTTAGCTTCTCATTATCTATTAACTGCAGTAAAGAAAAGGCCAAAGTGACATAATTAGCATTAGAAGTTTTGGGAAACATGTAATATTATCTTCCTTAATCCTGAACTGATTTAAGAGATTTGTATGATCCTTAAAAAAATGCTAAAAAGCTAAAAGCATGATGGAATATTTCTCTGGTTTGCCTCTTTTTTCTGTGCTCAATACAGCTGTACTATGAAGTGTATTCCAGATGGAAAGAACAAAAGATGATTTTCTCTATCAACAAATGAAGGAGATTAGTGTAAGTTTTATTTGATCATATAAAATATAATTATATATTTCTGATGGGTGTTTAATGCACTTAATGTGAAGATAGAATTTCATTTTAAAGCACCTACACTTTATTTGGAACAGATGATGGTCCATGCACAGCACCACTAATAGAGACTTCACCAAATCAGTTTTACAAAGCAGTCATCTAGTTTCTTCAATCATGGAAACACAGATAATTCTTTATAAATGAGTCAACGGGAAATATCACTGTCTCAGAATTTGATTGCGACATTGTTTAAATTTCTGATTTTGTTGAAGTGAAACTTTGAAACAGGCAGTGCAGTAAATTCCTTTCTGTGGGGGCAGTAAGTGTGAGTCTGTGCACGCTAATGTGACACATTAGTTAGGCTGGCCTCAGAGTCCTCTTCCTGAACGTTCAATCAGAAGAAATCAAGCTGGTTTTAACCTCATTTTGCAAAAGTTTTCATACTAACTGCAGAAACAAATTACACTGCTACTACTACTACTACTACTACTACCAAACCACAACTTTTGAAAGTATTTATGAAAGTCTATTTGTAGTTTAAAAACAGAATATCACATAAAACTGTCCACTAATCTTTCCTTTTTCAGATGGGGTTTGTGTGAAAGCCAGTGTTTTGGAGGAAAGCTTGGCACTTAACTTGATTTACAATGTTCAGAATCATGCAAGAAGCAGTAAGAATATGTTCTCATGCCAACAAATTCCTCCAGTCTTTAATTCCACGCCCTAACAACCCCTGGTTATAGGGCTTCAGCTCCTCCACCACACACTGGAGCTTGGCAAAGGCTAGCTCCTATTTAGGCAAACACAAGTTTGGCTATCGACTTTAAAACCGGGTGCACAGATTTTATTAAAGGCAACACTTGGAATATAATGAAATTAGCTGTTTATATTTTTGTTTGAAGCACAATTTTTAAAAAGAACAAAAAACATTTGTGCGTCATTCAACTGAACTAAAAGCTGAACTCAAAAAGAGGAAACAGTTACTGGATGCACACATGCATGCTGCACACTTTAACTCAGCTTTCCAATATTAAAGAGCATCACATCTCATTAGAGAAACATCAGAACCCTGAGATTAACTTGAACGATCTCTCATGCAATGTTTCAGAAAAACCTAAAAAACTCTCTCCCCTCTCGGGGGGGGGGTCTGGGTCTGGGGGTTCGTTCTGACCTGGTCTGCAGTGGGAGGAGGCGTCAGGTGTCACAAACAGGCTGTCTTCAGTTATCTCCCGAGTTTCTGAGCGCTGGTGACTCCGCGGTGATGCTGCCGACAGAGGCTGGTCCTGGTTGGCTTATAAACCCTCCAGGGTCCAGCAGCAGCCAATCGCTGCACAGCCTGTGATGTCATGAGGTTAACCGCTCCACGGTCCACCTCTACGCTCTCTCCCACTCTTCCTGTGGTCGGTGGTGTGCAAACACACACACACACACACACACACACACACACACACACAAACACGTGCACGCGCAGACACTTCCAGCCCAGACAGAAGCATGTAAACACACTTCTTTTTCTGCCTCGTTCACACACTCACACACACATTTTTAGTCAGTGTGTGTGCAGTTAATTTAGGAACATGTAGAGACACGTTAGGGGGAAAAACAGAAACGTATAGAAGCCGGTGGGATGACAGTGATTCAGCTTCCTCACAGACAAACTCATGTGGCTGAGCTCTCTCTGGATAATTGAACATTTGTCTGGAACTCCAGACCGACTCATCAAACCTGCCAAACAAAAGGGAGCTTTCATTCTCCGTGTGTTTAGGAATAACTTCTACAGAAAACCTTAGAAATCAATCAATCAATTCATTCAAAGTCAGTCAAATAGAACACAGGATATTTGGTATGGTGCATATGCCATTCACGGGGTGGTAGCTGACCCCTTTAAGGACATACGGCTGTCCACCTGCTTTGTTTGGTACAGGTTCTCTGGTTCTCCAGCCTGGTCTGGACTAAAGCTGCAGGTGTGGGATGAATCCAGGAGTCCAGACCTAATGTGTCCTGGCAGACAGAGCTGCTCAGGTTGAGCCGTGGCTGTGTTTGAGATCCTCCTAAATGGAAAACAGCAATCAATGCATCTCTAAGACTACTGCTGATGTCTTTCCTCCTTGGCATGGTGTAAACACACCTGAACACATCTGAGCAGGACCTGACTGCTATTTATCTGATTTCTATGGGAGAAGGAAGGGTTCCATTATGGGTTTGATTATCTTATGTGTTGTTTATCTTAAGCTGAATGTTTCTGAAGTTTGAAATGAACTTTAACTTTACCATAAATGTTCATTCATCTACATCAATTATATCACGCCCCCTTAAAGAAAGCATCTTTTTTGGTGATGCCGAGGCGTGTATTTGCAGTGTCCCTGAGGAAACTAACTTTGTTTGGTCAGTTTATCCAATATCACTTATTCCGCTTTACTCAGTTACCAGTGATTTTGGCTTTGGCAGATTACTTTATCAAACACTTACAAATTCACGATTTATGATGGGAAGTGTCTCCTTTGTTAAGTCCTGAGTGCACAGATGTATAGATAATCAACTTCTTCTCAGTCTGCCTGAGTTAATAACATTATTACAATATTTAAAAGCAATTTAAGAATAATCCATGATATCTGATTTCTTTAAAAAAGTTTTCATTTGTTTTTGTTTTTTTGCTTGTTTGTTTTTGTGCAAGTTTTTCGCTTTTTGGTCGGACAATTTTCTTTTACTCAGAAAAAAAACTCCAGACAGACATGCATACCTTGAGCACTCTTTATGCTCAGAGAGGCGACGCAATCATTAAACGTGATTGGCTTGTGAATGTTCCAACATCAACCTGTAATTAGAGGGACCCGTCTCAGTCTGCGTAGTCTGACAGCCTTACATAAGCAGCCAGGTGCACGTACAGTTATTTATCAGACAGCGAGGTGTGGCAGTTTACATCCAGGCTGCTCACTGATCCACATCACCCCTAAACAGCAGCATGCCCGTTCCAGATCAGGCTCCTCTGGCCTGTCAGGGATCCACAGGGACGGACAGCCTGTTCACAGAACTCACACTTTATGCACACATGCTCAGGTCTGACTGGCTGATGGGTTGTGATGCCTCAGACTCACAGCATAACACAACTTCAATCGCACAATCTGTTGTGCAGCAGTGTTTGCTGTGTGCCTGATCTCAGTTCTGCTGTTCCTGCTGTAGAAGAGAGCCACGCTCATCACTTCCAGTCTGACTTTTTAGTTTGTATCAGGATACTGAATAAAAAGAGGTGAGGAATAAAACTTTTCAACAGATTTGAGTTTGAAAAGTTGAAAAAAGCTGGTTTGACTGAATGACAAACCTCTAATCTGACTAACATTAGAGGTTACTACCATGGTTTAGTCAGATTTCCACATTTACTACACATTATTTAAATTCATGTAATGCAATACCTGGAGGGATGCTGACCGCCACTGTGGGCACTCACACAGGAAACAGGGCACCTGGGACCAAGGGGGGGGGGGTTAATCTGCTGCCAGTGTTTGTAAGAGAGAGAGACACATGTCTGCACACACACTTTTCATGTAAACTAGTATGTGAGTGAGTCTACAAAAAAGTGAACATCCTCAACAGAGAGGTTTTAAGGGAAGAGCTATGCTGTGTGCTTTCGTCAAAGATTTCCTGAGATAAATTACAATCCAAGAAATATCTTTCTCTTGTATCTTTTGCTCTGCGATTTTCCCTGAGTGTGTGCAAACAGCCCCCCTCAAACAGCCCCCCCATGTACCATCATGTGTACCCTCATGTGTACCCTCATGTGCACATGTGTAAACTTAAGCTGACAGTCTGCGTAGTCCACCAATAAAACCAAATTAAACCACTAGCCCCGAAACACAACCGCCAAATAACACCCTCACTCAGAGTGTTCATGGTTACATTTACTGTTCCCCGAAAGTCTAAAACACAAAGACAAATAGGAAAACAGCAGAAGATAATGAAGTGTAGGAAATTGCTTTAAGTAAAAAGCCACATGATGGAATAATGTACACTTAGAGGTGTAACATCTGCCGTTCATGCACTGAGTTATGAAATAATCTCTACACTTTTATGATCTATTATGCTGACATCTACATGTTTCACACAGTGTTCAACTTCAGAAAAGTCCAAATGACACTTAGTTTGAAACTACTAATAAGCAGAGTTTTTAATTTGATTCTCCTAGTTATACTTAATCTACAGCTTTCAGGCTTTTTAAACATAATTTAAGTTTTTTAACAGCATTTTTGTCATCTGGAGAAAATAGGCTCACACACAGGGACACACACACACATACACACAGGGACACACACGTATTCAAAAACTGATGTCATTTGTCATTTTCTGCACATTTTAAAAGCTTGTGAGGGGCCTCCGTCACCATGGCGACCTATGTGTGGAAATATTCTTTTTAACAGTAACCTCAAGATTTTTGTGTGTTCATAAAACAGAAGCTACATTTTTAATAGAACACAATTCCATCAGGTCTGGTCAGAGAGGGGGGGGCTGTGGAGCTGCAGGGGCCCGTCCGGCCGGTGGGGGCCCGGCCAGCAGGGGCCCGGCCGGGACGCTGACAGAGATGCAGAAAGTCAACGTGGAATCTCACACAACCACGTTCACATGGAAATAAAAAACACGTGTGACCAAAACACACACACAGACAATAACACACACACTTTCCAGCCTGTAAATGTGTTGGAATACTGGCTGGCAGACAGTGTGTGTATGTGTGTGTGTGTGTGTGTGTGTGTGTGTGTGTGTGTGTGTGTGTGTGTGTGTGTGTGTGTGTTTATTTGTGGTACTTTTGTGTGGATATACATTTTAAAATGTTTTAAAAAGAACAGAAATATCAAATCTGACAGAGATTTGCTAGACAATCAAATCTATGCTGAAATTGATGGTACAAATATGGAATATGGGCGAAGAGCAGGTTGGAAATTTGGCTAAATGCTGTTGTTAAATAAAGCTCCAGTGGTTCCTGATCTTTTCTAAACTTTGACCTGCTTTAATAAAATGTGGCGTTTTGTGACGTTTTACTGTGTGAATACTTTAGTGCGGTCTTACCCCCTCAGCATGACTCTTAAAACGTTCAAAAGTGAATCCGTTATTTAAAGGCTTGTTAATCAACGGTTAAAATGTTTTTGTTTACATTGTAGTGCCATTTAATGAATATTCTTTTCCACACACACCCATCAATAAAGGCCTGTGTAAACGGCTGGGTTCACCACAAGGCTTTTCATTTGTGTTGTACTTTAATGGAAAGGAAAATTTAATCGTAATGTTTCTTGCTCCTTTGCCTGAAGGTCTGTATTTGCTAACTTTCCGCGTCTTTAGCTTTATTATGTTTTTATATCATCTTTGGTTTAGTTGTTACTTCAGAATAAGGTGTTACTTTGAGAAAACTGTATTTTTGGGGGGGTTTGTGAATATGGCAGTAGTGACAACATAGAGCTCTATTACTGGTCATCATTTGGCATCATTCTTTGCATTGGAGTCCATGATTCCTGTAGGTTATTCTGAGGTTACTATTCAGGCAGAACCCAAAAGAACACCCCCGTCCTAAAGAAAAAAGCAACCTGAATGATTAACAGAACAAAGCAAAGCAAAAATTAGCCGCCCCTGAGCCCCCAGTGCTGTTCCCTCTAGCTTTAGCTGCTAGCTCAGCTGACTATTCCTAACCGGATTCACCAGAAACTGCTCACTGTTTTCTTGGTTCTTAAATCTTATCTCAGCCTTGGTAACACAGGGTTTCTGAGTTAATGCCTTTTTGTTTTCAGTTGCCTCTGGCCCTCTGACTGCCTTTACAATCTTCTCGGGGAGATGGAGGGTTCATAGGTTACCTCTGATAAAAGTACATTACTGTTGTGGCTGTGGATAATACTACATTTCAGCTAGCTACACAGCAGAAGAACAGACAAAAGCCCTTCAAATGTGGCTGGGGTGTGTTGTCATTCTACCAGCTGTTGGCACACAACTCTGGTCCTCAAGGTTTGAGATGTTTCTCTGCTTCAACACACATGATTCAAACAAGAATCATGACCTGACTTTGACTTTTGGGCCATAAATATGTAGCAGTAAAAAGAACTCAGACAACCCATCTTTTAATACAGTACATACGTATTTTAGCCTGAATAAAGCCTGCAAGCTTTTGTCATTTTTTTGTTTTATTACTGAACTTTTCCATTGAAAGCTTAATGCAAAATAACATTTGCAGTAAAGGTTTCACAGTGACCTTCTCCAATCTCTCTATGGAGAAAAAAGTACAACTATAGAAGCC